GGCCCCCCAGGGTGTCACAAGTCCTGCCAGCAAACCAGCTCCAACGTCGGGTCCACCATGGGCTGCAGGGGCACAGCCTGCGTCACCATGGTCTTCACCACAGGCTGCAGGGGAATCTGTGCTCTGGCACCTGGAGCACTTCTTCCCGCGCCATCTTCACTGACCCTGGTGTCTGCAAAGTTGTTCTTCTCACATATTTTCAATCCTGTCTCCCAGAAGCTGCCACACAGTTGTCTTCCCCCCTCACTTAAGTATGTTATCCTTAGATTTAGATTGGATATAAGAAAGAAATTCTTCCCTCTGAGGGTGGTGAGGTACTGGAACAGGTTGCCGAGAAAAGTTGTAGATGCCCCATCCCTGGAAGTGTTCAAGGCCAGGTTGGATGAGGCTTTGGCCAACCTGGTGTAGTGGAGCGTTTCCCTGCCCATGGCAGGGGGGTTGGAACGAGATGATCTTTGAGGTCCCTTCCAACTCTAACCATTCTGTGATTCTATGATTAGGGCCATGGTTTAGTGGTGGACTTTGCAGTGTTAGGTTAATGGTTGGACTTGATGATCTTAAAGGTCCTTTCCAACCGAGACCATTCTGTGATTCTATTTTCGCACCCACTTCTGCTGACCTGCAGTTCCCTGTAGCAGCCCTGCTGACGGCAGCGGTGTGCCCGAATAGCCAGTGTCACCTCCTGCAGCGTGCGATTCTTCCCTCCCAGCACAGTATCATGAGGTCGCTCACTCACCGCTCTCCCTCAGTGAGGTGGAGAGGAGAAAAATGTAACAGAAGGACTGAGGGTCAAGGTAAGAACAAGGGTGAATCGCCCACCAACCACGGCCCTGGGCAAAGCAGACTCAATGTGGGGACAAATCGATTTAATTCGTATAATGGCTCATGCAGAGAGGATAACAAAAACCAAAGCCAGATCTGAGAAACACCTTCCCCCCACCCCTCCCTTCTTCCCAGCTCTACCTCCTCTCTGAGTGGCACAGAACAGGGAATGGGGGGCTGCAGGTCAGTTTGTCACATGTTTCTGCTGCTCCTTTCTTAAAGGAGGAGGACTCCTTATGCTCTTTTCCCCTGCCCAGTGGATTGCCTCCTCACAGGACAGTCCACAGACTTCTCCAATGTGAGTCCTTCCCACAGGATACAATCCTTACCCATCAAATTGCTCTGGCGTGGGCTTCTTCCCTGTAGAGTCACAGCTTCTTAGGGAGCTGCCACCTGCTCTGGCGTGGGGTTCTCCGCGGGCTTCAGATGCCTCTCTGTCTCATCGTCTCCAGCGGCTCATGGAGACCATTCTCCATGACTTCCTTCAGGCACAGGCATCTCTGCTCCAGCGTGAGGTTCTCCCAAGAGCTGTGGGTGGATCTCTGCTCCGCCATTAATCTCCACGGGTATCAGGGGGGCCGCTGCCATCTCACTGCAGGCTGCAGGGGAATCTTAGCTCCGGCACACCTCCTCCTGCTCCATCTTCACTGTCCCTGGTGTCTGCGTGGCCATTTCTCTCAGATCTCAGTCTTCTCCACGAACTTCAGCAGTCCCGGCAAGATGAGTTCCTCCCAGAGGGCGTCCTGGGAGCGGGGCACTTTGGAGCTCTCCAAACTGTGCTGCTGCAGCCATCTCCTGTTGGGTAGAGGCGGCCCAGGGTGGGCAGATATTCAGTGCAGGTCCAGCCTCAGCTTGGGCTCCTTTGTCCCAGTCTTAAATAGGGCATTCACAGAGGTGCCAATTGGTTCAGTGCTGGCCTGAGGGGATGGGGACTGGCCAGAGGCCAGTCTGACTGTTTTTGGAGCAGGGGGGAAACTTTTCACAGCTACTTACAGGGGCCATTTCTGCAGCCCCTCCTGTAAACCCAGCACAAATGCAGCCAAAAGCTGCTTCGGCTACATCCTAAATCCCCTATAAACAATGATTCTTGCTTGTCTGCTTGTTAAAGTATGGCAAATGGGAGAGGGAAATGCAGATCTTGTGTCACTACCATTAACACTGATTCACTATGAGGCACGGGGTGGGGAACAGCTTGGGAATCCATGAAATACCAGCCCAAAGCACTTACCACCAGCTAGTCAGCTACAGAAGAACTAGCAGGAAGAGAAGATGAGGTCAAGAAATGAGAGGGAAAAGATGGGGAGATCACGGCAGAAAGCAGAGGAGGAGACAGGTTTCCAGAGCTCACACTAGTCTTGAGCACCTCTCCCAAACTACACAGACAGCTGAAAAGCAAACCAGGGCTACTTTAGGCCGGGTTTGCTGTAATCCTTCTGGATACCAAGGGGCCTTGAACAGCTCTCGTGAGACTCATCCTGCCTGGGTCAGCGTGTCTCTATAGAGAATTTTTCAGCTCAGAAGAGGCCTTTTCTGTTTGACATCACGCCTCTGGCTGTGCTGACCTTACAGCATGTCCTGAGCAGCAGCTGGAAGAAGCTTCCTTTGTTGCATGAGATGCAATAAATGAACAGGCCTCATCTGTCACACACACAGAGCTCTGCAGGTGTCTGTGTCCCCAGTCTTGCCTCCCCAGCAGTTGCAGTACAAGACCTTCCCATCAGCTGCTAGAGCCATTTTCCAGCCTGTTGACCAGTTTCCCCTCAGATGCTTCCCCATGTCTTGGCACAACTCCCGTGCCAGGGTCCTTGGGGTCCTTTTCTCCCATCTGTCTTTCAAAGCAGACACCTACGCTGCAGTTGTTCTTCCCAATTTTGTTCTTGAGAGGATGAAACCAAACGAGGAAAACTCCCGTAAGAAACACAGAACAAAGTGTGCCAATGAGCAAAGTTTCACAGCTGCCTCTCACTGCGTGGTATTCCCCGTATTCATTCTCTCGTCTCATACAAACCTAACTCAGCTACCCATCACTCTCACTACCTCCTTTCATCTTCAGGCAGTAAGCACCTCTACCAGACCACAAGGACTAGGACCTACACTTTGCTCATTTATTCCTGTAGTAGCTGAATCCTTATAACAGCCCTGTCATGCTGGAAGAGTGGTTGCTGTGCTCTGCTAAAACATCTCTGGCCTCTCTCATGTAGCATCTCATGTGGTCCTTTCCCTCCAAAGGGCTCTGCATCCCAAGCGCTGGTGTTCAGAGACTACGGCACCTCTGTGCGACAGGCTGGACAGAGACTGTGTTTGGCAGTGCACGGAGTGGGAGGCTGGTTTAGTTCCCAAATTGTCAAGACTGGCAGAAACTTGACAAACAGAGAATCTGGCAGGATCCCACATCTGCTTTACTGCTCATACCGTCTTCTCCTTCTGAGACACTATAGTTGCTGGGGAGGAATTTCCCCAGGGTCCCTGGTCCATAGCAGGCGCCCTGAATGCCGATGGGGATGCTGGGAGTCCAGCGCTGCAATTGGCTGGCATCCACCTTGCCATGGCAACACGGAGCAAACACTCCCTGCATTGCTGGGTACCGCAGCAGCCCTGGGAGCCGCTCTGCGGGTCTTGTACCCCCAGGGAGGAAAGGACAGACCCAGCGACACTGCCAGGGCCTGGGCACAGCTCCCCTGGTGGCAGCCACCCCTGTCTGGAACCACACTCCTCTGGGCCCACCTGCCTGGCAAGGGCCGTTGGGAAGCAACAGCAATCGATCTGGGCAATCGTAAGTAGGGGTAAGTGGAGGGGAGTTATGGAAGCAGGGATCAGTAGAGGGAGACTGGCCTGCTGCTCTTCGTGCTGTCTCAGAACCCCTTTCCAGACTCCTGAAGTTTGTCAGATGAGTCCTGCAGCTCTGAAGGAGCTCTCTTTCTCAGTGCGTTTGTGCATTTCTCTTTCTAAAGGTGAAGACAATGGACAAGGGAGAGGAAAACGCTGCCAGTAAGGAAAAAGCTCACGTTCTCATGGAAAATGGGAGAAGTGATACAGAGGAATATCTTCCAGAGCTGGAGAGAAAAGAGAAAGGTAGTGTGCTTGCTCTATTGGCATGTCAGGGTCTTCCCAGAAGGATTTGTGAGCATTTTATCTGTTTTAGAAACCGAAGATGTCATCAAAAATATCCAGTGGACCACAGGCAACAACTTCACAGTGGAGAGAGGATGGCAGCAGATTGAAGAATACATTTCTGTGAGTGACAATGCCACCCACTCAGGAAGGTCACACTTTCTCACTGTTGAGGAGTGTGAAAACTAAAGGAGAGCACCTCAGTTCCTCTTTAGCAGCTCCCTCAAATCACCTCGACTAGACAGAGGGAATCTGAGTGCGATGTGTTTGCTCAGCAGATGTGGGAGGTTCACAAAAGCTGGCTTCACTGGTCAGAATTTCTCCAGGAAGAAGAACTGAAGTACAGCAAGAGGTACCATTACAGGGTTTGCTGGAGCGTCCCAACACGCAGAAAACCCATCCCACGAGCAACAGCAAGTGTTTACTTTGTTATCGAGATCTCCAAAATCAAACCTGCTGTAAGTACTCAGAAATGGCACGTGCCAGTCCTTTAAGAAACAAGAGTACAGGGGGGTTTCTTGAGGCAGGGAAACGCCAGGGCAGCGGAGAGACCCACCAGGGGCTGGCAGCTCTCACGAGAGATGCTGACAAGGCCTGGGCACTGTCAGAGCAGTGGCAGGAGATTTAAACACGGTGTAATGGAAACTAGCAGCCAATTGTCGAGGGGAGCAAAGCACAGAGCAGGAGGCTGGTTGAGTTCCCAAATTGTTGAGGCTGGCAGAAACTTGATAAACAGAGAATCTGGCAGGATCCCACACCTGCTTTCCTGCTCATACCATCTTTCCCTTCCGAGCAACACCAATACCTCTCCACCTGTAAGTAGGGCTGAGCAGAGGCAACTTACAGAATGAGGGCTCAGTAGAGGGAGACCGGCCCGCTGTTCTTCATGCTGTCTCAGAACCCCTTTCCTGAAGGCCTGAAGTTTGTTACCTGTACAATAATATGCTGCAGCTCAAAAGGAAAAAAGAAAGAAACTGCTCTGAGTAGACTTTTAACCTCCAGAATCTAGGCTTAGTCATACTGAACTTTAGCTTTTCTCTTTACTGGCTATGGATCCCCACGTAGCAGTCCACGGATGCTGTGGTTTAACTCCAGCTGCTAACTGAGCACCACACAGCTGCTCCCTCACTCACCTCCTCGCCTGCCCCCTGACCTATGGTGGGATGGAGGAGAGAATTGGAAGTGTAAAAGTGAGAAAACTTGTAGGTTGAGATAAAAACAGTTTAATATTTAAAAAAAAAAATAATAATAACAAATTGTAAAGAAAAAAATAATCAGGAGAGAAAAATAAAACTAAGACAGACAAGTGATACAGATGAAAACAACCTCTGAACACCAACCCATCAATGCCCAGCCAGTCCCCGAGCAGCACTCTGCCCTTGCCAGCCTCCCCCCTAGTTTTAGTGCTGGACATGACGTCATACGGTGTGGAATATCCCTTTGGTCAGTTGGGGTCAGCTGTCCCAGCTGTGTCCCCTCCCAGCCTCCTCACTGGTGGGGTGATGTTAGAAGCAGAATGGACCTTGACACTGTGTAAGCACTGCTCAGCAGTAGCAAAACCATCTGTGTTATCAACACCTTTCCAGTACAAATCCAAACCATAGCTTCATACTAGCTTCTGTGAAGAAACTGAACTCCACCCCAGCCAAAACCTCTTAAGCCAAAAATTTGGCTCCTAATTAGCCAAAACCTCCTAAGCTTAAAATTGTAACATCTGAGTCTTTATCTTCATGAGAGACTACTCATAGGGGCTTTAAACCAAACTATTCTAATCCATATCAGAAACGTACAAATACACAGGTTATTTTTGAAGAAGTGGGTAGCAGCTCCCACTTTTTGAGGTCCTGTATGTGAACTCCACTCTGTCTCTCCTCTCTTGCAGACCTTGCCCGTGGAGGTATTCTTCACTCTGGAGTCCAGCAGGCTGATTCACAGGTATGTTACTACTCTTCCATCACTGACACAACTCAGGAGGTTCTAGCAAGCTTTTCCACACCAAAAAGAAACAGGGAGCTTGATATAAGTAAGTTTGTAGTAATAGCAGAGAGGTGAAGGAAGCTGTTGGAATTTTGCTACGCAAAACCAAATGAGCTAGCTTATCGCTAGCTTCACTCCACCACAAGCACAGATAGCCACTCCATGAGCATCTGCCTTCTCCATAATGAATTTGTCCTGGGTTTACATAGGTCTAGGTGGTATTCTTTTTTTCAGAAAATGAAAATTTTGTCTGTGAATAAAGGCCAGCTCTCAGCTGGGCAAACTTGGATTCGATATTATTCTGACCATTTACCCTCTTATTATTCCATCCTCCAGGCCAGAACAGTGTCAGTTTAGAGAAGAGTGGCTTAAGGACATCATTGAAAATAAAATGATTCTCATGGAGAGACTTACTTTCTAATGAACAGCTGCAATTCACCATCACCAATGCTCTGTTGGCATTTTGTGGAGAATCGAATAAACACAATGAAGGAAAAACGACTCTTCCTTATCAGCAGTTCTACTTTGTGGATACCTAAAAAGCACTAAATCTGTGCAAAATCAGCTACGGCCTGACCTTGCAGCTGACTTTGCATGATGGTTCCTTGCAGGTATGGGTGGGTACAGCAGGATGGAACCGAGTTGCAGAGTGTAAACAGTAAGAGGCAGCTGGGCTGGACTTGCTGTTTGCGAATGCCAGGTTTGCAGAACTCCAGGGCAAACATTAAAGGACTTTTATTTTCTTTATACAAACATACAAGACATCTCTGCTGCCAAAACTACAACACAGAGATTTAGGGGAACAAAAAAACCCTCCAGAAAACACTTTGTTTTTAAAAGCATGGGAGAAAAAGGTGGCTAAGAGGAGTTACACTTGGAAATATGCAGTTGAATCAAAGATAACCACCACAGAAGCCTGGAGTAGGCCTCTGAGTACAGAATTTAAAGAAAGCCATGCTAATAGTGCTGAAACAGACCAAATTAAAATACCACCGGAGTTAAAATAAGGTTTTAATCTAGAACACTTCCATAGACAAAAAAATTTCAAATAAATTGAAAAATACATCCCTGTTACCACCTGTGTACATCCAGGGTTTCCAATCACTGCATCCCACTGCTCTGATACCTATGTATAACATAGGAGAAAGAGAAGCAAGCAACTTATTTCTTCATGACAGGCTTTGGTGGACTGAAGATCAGACCCTGCCATTACTGTCACTGCTACTTTATATCCCAATTGCGATTTGCTTGCTTTAAAGCACCTGAAGCCCATCTGTATTAAATTACAAACTCATTTCTATTTACAAGTCTAGTTTGAACCACAAACCAAACTCAACTGTTTTGAGAAGAAATAAAACTAATAGACTTACGAAAAAACACCAAAGTGGACAGACTTAGATTTTAAACAGGAACTTAGGAGTTCCTTCATTTTTGCTGCTGTTACTAGTAGCTTGCTTCTGATGGCTAGTCTACTCTCATTAGCGAAAATAAATGGAAAATCACACTTATCAGCATCAGGGAACAAAGCCCTCCCACAGAATCCTCCTGCTTGTCCAATTCAAAGCAAGCACAGAACATCGCCACCTCTCATCTTCCCTGCCTGCTCCTGCCTTCCCTGCCTTGTAGCCTTTCACTTTACAGGGATTCCTTGCAGATGGTGAACAAATCATCCAAGAAAACCTGACAAAAGTCACTGTTTCCTTGATACAAGTAATCCACTCCTGAGGCTTGGCCCTGTTGGGTGAAAGGCACGGCAGCACTTGCAGCTTTTTCCAAATCGTGACTGGAACGGGTTAGCTGCTGCTTGGTAGAATCTATGGTATACTGTTCAAATATAGAATTATTTCTCCTCTTTGCCCTTAGTCTTTCTGTAGACCATCTCTCGAAAGCTTGCAAGGATCTTATTCTCTCGTTTCCTCCTCTCCTCCTGGTTGAAAGATGCCAGAGCTCTCTTTTCATCTGCACTGTAAATCTGGTTTTCTTTACGCAGACGCACAGCTTCCATTCGGCGATGTCTGTGGAGGAGGAGAACATTGTGCACATCAGCAGAGGAAGAGGGATGTAATGCCCTGTCATGGCTTCCATCCATCAACTGGCCTGAATGTTTTCAGGGACTTCTACATGCAGATACCTACACTACAGAATCCAAACTGCACACAAACCTCCCCAGGAAGGAGCATGGCAGAGCTAGAAACAGGACTCTAGGGCTGTCTGCTCTTGGGCAGTGAGAAGGAAGCCCCAGCTCCCCCCAGGGTGTCAGCTGCTGGCTCACCAAAATTTAAGTGGAATTCCTGTTGGACTCAGAGGAAAAAGTGCAGCCAACCTATCACACTTTGATTTGTCTTCCACTGAAGAGCCAGCACATCACCACTGCTGTCCAAACACACCACCTTTGAGCCACCTGACACAAGCATCTCCTCATTTGAGATACAAGATAATCAGAAGTACATTTACCTGGAAAGAATTTTTGCTCTTGAGGAGAAAGTGTGTTTAAAACACTCACCATCTACCTATAGCAATAGGGAGTTTAGTGTGGATTATTCCAAGCACACAGAGCACTTTCTCTTCTGGGTTTTCATCTAGAGCTTGGAAGCAGTCTTCCAATCAGCCATCAGAGGAAGTGGTTGTTGAAAATTTCACTGAACGATTACCATAACCAAAACCATACCTGCTGCCACTCATGACATAACCAGAGCTCTCAAACGATGCAATCTCTTCACTGGTCAAGCCAATTTCACCTCTCCGGGGTATACGTTTTCCTGCTTTTACATACTCTGCCATTGCTGCACCTTCACCGGGCAAGAGAGCATGTCCATAGCTTAAAAAAAAAAAAAAAAGTGGTGATTTCAACCAGGCTTTAATAGAGACAGCCTGAGTTCACTATTTCCTACAGCCTCGTTTTTAAGCACTTTCCCACATATTGGCCTGTTTCTTCCCAACAGCTAACACTAGCAACAACATCTTAAATCACCAGTTGAATCCATTTCTGATTAAACAGTAATAAAGACTCTATAAAGCCACAATACTGCAAAGCATTAGAACAAAGGCATCTTACAATTGATTTTCTAAGAATCAAGGCTAAAAAGCATAAACCAGAATTTTCTACCTGAATTCAGGCCAGGGTAAAGGCTAGCACCAGTACCACCTCTGTTTCTGGCACAGGATTTCTCTGGCGCATTGCCATAACAGCCCTTTTGAACAGCAACCCTCAGGCTTAATTCAATTGATCTGATCAAAGTACCCTTAGAGCTGGCTACTCACTTCAAAGGCCTGTCATCCTGAGATGCATGAGTCTTGGGAGCTTCTGGCCCAATCAAGCTATCGGCTTCTGTGTTTTCTGCAACAACCAAATAACGAGGAAGATAAATATTGTGCCCATTGTTTTTTGTTGCCAGAACAGTTACACAAGGCAGTAACACCTAACAAAGAATTCACAAAAAGGACACCAAGAAGTTTCAATCCCAGTTTAAAGTTAGGTGAACCTACTCGATCTTTCGATCCAGAGATCCTCCCCTTGAAAAGTTTCGTCATCAGAATCTTCACTACTTGAATCACTGGATTCCTTCCTGCTCTTCTTACTTTTCTTTTTCTTATACTTCTTCCTATGATAAAGATAGACATGCTATTTACCAAAATTTAAGATGAAAGAAAATGCTTGGAAATCATACTCAAGCCATTAGTTTCCCAAGGCAACTTCCACCTACGGGAAGACTGGCTGTCTGTATACAGACTGTTGTCGTTCCATAGCAAACGCCGTACAGCAAAACAAAGACAATATATACACTGTTATGCTTTTCATATAGTGTGAGAAAGCGGCTCCCAACGTTTTCAGCAAGTCCTCTATGCAGTATGGTTCTGTAGATTTGAAGAAAATCCATCAAATTAAGGTTATTTGACAGAATTTACAGCCTTAATTACAAGAGAGCTCAGCCTTTCTCACCACCTGCTAAGAAAGTGGTGCTGCCCTCTACTCAAAAGCAGGTAGAATTACACACGACAACCTGGAAACTTACTTTCTGTTCTTCTTTTTCCTCTTCTTGCTTTTCTTTTTATCTTCATCTGAAAAAAAGAAAGTATATATATATACTATCAAAAAGAGACAGTAGTTTTCTGCACTGCGACGACTAACTGCCTCCACCAGCACGCCTCAGTACACCACGTCTCAGACGTGGTGTGTTTAGGTACCAATAATAGCGAGAAAGTATGAGCAGAAAGCTACCTGCAGTAGTGTTTGATACAAGAACATAGTAAATACATCTCTGGCATGAGACGCCCAATGGAGCTAAATTCAGAAATCCTATTTCCTGATGCCAGAAGACCACAAGCATTCAAGGAAAACACACTGCAAACCCCAAAAAAAGGGAGAAAGAAAACAGTATCTGATCGATGCTGCAGCTCTGTAATTCCAGAACACTGCAAGTGTGCAAGAAAAGCCAGAAGTGTTGCTTTGCCTTCAGAGGAGCAGAAGGAGAGTTTTCACACATTAGCCGAAACCCTCTTTTCTTACCACTGGAGCTCTCCTCAGACTCCGACTCACTGTCGCTGTCCTCAGAACGTTTCCTGCGTTTTCTTTTGGATGCCTTCCGCTTTTTCTTCTTTCTTTTCTTCTTCTTTTTCTTTTTTTCCTCTAGAATGTTTTTAAAAGAGAACATTAGAGAACAGGCAAAGATCACCTAGCTCCATATGTACTTCCTGATCTTCCCAAAGCAACGCTGCCCTTTGAGCTGGAGTCCACCACATCTGCTTCCATCTACCAAAGCCAGCGAAACTCTTGCAAGCAACAACAGCAGATTCTAGACTTCCCGTTTTCAAAACAAGCTGTGTAAGCAAAACAAAATACCTTCTGAACTGGAATCTGAAGAACTACTCTTAGATTTTGCCTCTTCATCTTCTACTGGTGTATGCTCATCGGAACTGAATAAAAATAAAAGTTTGCTATTTAAAATAAGATGAAAGGTACCCGTATGACCAAACGCATGCTTGCAGATTTTGAGACAATACTTGGAATAAACTACTGAACAGCTGATGTGCAGCATGGGAACTGCTTTCAGAACCACAACACGAAGGTCACCCGATCAATAATAAATCACATCTTGCATAACTGGTATGTTGGAATTGTTTGGCAGGGCAGGGAGAAGGAGAAAGAAGCGTAATCTCGTTATGTGGCTTTAGAAATGAACTGACACAACACGAACTGCGGCCAAGGGACTAGTGTGGGGATGCAACACTTTCGTAAATTAAACTGACAGAAAATCAACATCATAAAAACTGGAAAGAAAGAAGGAAGAATATGCCTTACTCAGGGTCAGGAACCTTTGGTGACAGCCCCCAGACTTCAGGTGCCCCCAGTTCTCCAATCCTCTCTCTCTCATTGAGCCTCCTACGATGGAAAACACCTTCACTGGAGCACTGTGCGCTGTGCACAGCACGTAAACATTTTTAAGTGTGACATCAGCTACCATTTCGCATCGCCTACAGCAGCTACGCTAAGGAAAAAGAAA